CCTCATCTTGATTAAGGAAATTAGAAGTTACAGCTTAAATTTGCTTTTCTCCATTCGCACTGAAAGTGTTTATGGTTCATTTATATATATATATATATATATATGTATATACATCTGCTATATAGACTGCTTGCTAAACTCGTTTTGCGGCTTTAAGAGCACTTTGATAGGGCTGAGTAAAAAGCGCAGTGTTCCGCAGGCAGAGCCGTTGATTGACATCGCGAGTCCTGTTGTTGGCAGGACAATTGCAGAGCGCTGCTTCTTGATGCGCTACAAGTTAAATCCATTAAACTTACGAAATGGAAATTAATTTTTGGGCAAACTGCAAACAGGAAATCCCAATTGGACGCAAGCTGCCAGATGTGGCCAGTTCTCTCTTCATTAGTGTGTGTGTGTGTGTGTGTCCAGCATTCGATCAGTTTGAGAAAGTGAAATGAACTGTTTGTCAACGGCTGACGAGTGACATCTGTGTCAGTGGCCTGGCCAGAGTCCGGTCGAGTTGGCTCCCTCAACGATGTTAATTTCAATTCTCGGTGGCCAGCGATAGCTGCTGGTCTGGTCGTTGACTCCGCCTGACTGCCGCGCAACTAAATCAAGCGCTGCACGTGGCAGATGCGCTCCGTCTGGGCCCAGTCTGGCGGTTGCTCCTTCGCTATCGCACTTTGGGCATGACATGGACGTGAGCAATGTGCAATGGCGATAAGAGAGTGGCGGCAATGGCGTGCTCTCCGCATCACTTTACGCTGCTCCGCTCTGCTCGGCTCGGCTCGTAATTGGCCTGGCAGAGTCAACCAACTTTGGCCAATTGAAGCGTAATGGGCAACAGTTCAATAACTTTTTGGCATTGCCATTCAGGCAATTTTTGATGCCTGCTCCTTATCTATGTGAGATCAAAATATAATTATTCGAGCCAAGCCAAGTACATACAATGGGCTGTTAGCTCAATTAAATGGCATCCAGTTCAACTGCTCTTACCAAGCTTTTGCTTATGCCAAAGAACAAATATTCGATCTCACTCTGAACTAAGTCACCTGTAATACCATAAACTAATTGATTGCATTGAATCAAATTCTTGAACTGAAGTTAACTGTTAATTAAACTATCACTAGCAGCTGAGTATTTTTTAGTATTTCAACTATATCGTGTACTAAGTCACAATAAATGTAAGGAGAGGAAAAAAATAATAGCACCAGTAATGCAAACAAAATTTCATTTTACTTAATCAATTAAAATTTTAGATTAAAATTAACTATCACGTGACCTTGGGTCTATGTTAGTACTAACTATATCTTTTACTAAATCAAAATAAATGCATAAAAGGTGGGGAAAAAAATAATAGCACCAAAAAATTTAATTTTTGCGTTTCTTTTAATTATTAAAAATAAATCAATTTGTAAACTTAAAATTAACTGTGAACTAAAGTTAAAACTGAGAACTGTGTCTATGTACTTTTAATATACCTTAACGAAATAATAATATTGCGGGAAAACAATAATAGCACCACTTTTGCAGTTCAAGTTTTAATTTCTATAAATTTTAATTTAATATAAATAAACAAAATTTGATCATTGATTGCTTTTTTAATTACCTAATTCTTATAAAAGTAGGTGCGAAAAATAAAATAGCACCAGCAGCGTAACATATGCGAAAGAAAAAATAGCACCACCACATATTTCGACGATGCTTCGTATACATCCTTATCTAAATGCTGCCTCTGCCCTAACATAGAGCAAATCGAACTTAATCTAATTAAACTCTTTTCAAACACATGAATTGCTCCATATATGGATCAGTAAAGAAAGATATATGGATAAAAGAATTAGTTGAATAATGATTTTATTAGAATAAGCAGATGATGCTCGACTTTAAAGAGTTCAATAGACTTAAAGCGTGAGCAGACTCCGGGCATATGCATCAAAAGCCAAACTTAAAGGCAATGACTAATATTTTTGGCTATCACCGGTGCCAAATGGCCAACGCCCCCGACTGCTGTATCCGTTAGCCTTCTTCTGCTCCTTCTCTGGCCACTTTATGCGCACTCACACATACACACACACATATATATATACATACATACATACATATATGCACATATTTATGTGTAATCCCAATGCATATAGTACGACATATATGCAATGTGTATGTGCATATGCACCTCTCTCTCTATGTGTGTGTGTGTATACATAGATACCTGGCTGGCTGATTTCGACTGGAGCTCTGTGCCGCTATCATTGCACAAGTGCGCAAAATTTTGGACTCAATTCACGTGCTTGGCTGCCAAAATTGTTGGCAGCCTCCAGTCGGCTCGGCCGGTCGTCGTCCGCTTCATAAATTTGCACATTGAGTCGCCCTCCTCTGGTCGCAGCGGGTGGAGCCGAAATGGCGAGCGGACGACCGGGTCGCTATGTTGTCGGGATCGGCATTGGCAACGGGTATGGCGAAAGGCAACAGCAGCGTCATCGGCATCGGCATCGGCATCGGCATCGGCACCGGCATCCTCATCGGCATCGGTATACGCTTCTACATTACATCCTATTTGTATTTAATTCGATACGGGGGCAACGGGTAAGCGTTGCTCCCGAAGATTTTTGCTACGCGAGTGAATCGAAGCCACGCCCCCATTTAACCCACTCCAGCCAACGGACCGCACTCAAGTGCAGTGAAATAGTTGTGAAACACTTTGCCAAAGATGAAAGATAAACCACACAGGCAACGCCAGCGATGGAGACGTCCACGTTCACGTTCACGTCAGGCGCCATTTTTGCATGTACATAATACTACTACAACTACTACACACACACACACACATACACACACGCATCCGTATACATATTCATCTCACACAAACAAATAAGAGCTTTAAGTCGAACGAAATTTAAAAGCGCTTAACCCGAAATGTTGCAAGCGAAATCTTCTTCAAGTTTCACAAATATTTTGACCCTTTTTTAATGTGCTACCAGCATTTCAGACTTTAAACAGCTGCAAGCTCTGCGCGAATGAACAAATGTTGCAAATCAATGGCTGCTTAGCTTTACTTCAAGTAATGAGAATCACAAAGAAGGGCGATCTTGATAAATGTAATCGAATGAATTCGGTTAGGCGAATTCGAATGAACATTAAAAGTATCTAAAATATAAGTTTTAGCTTCATTTAAACATAAATATGTTCGTGAACTTGTTCATGTTCTTTACTAGTTCAGTTCCTTAACTTTCCTCATATGAAGGAATCCTGCTGATCATAATAGCTATACCTACTAAAATTAAGAATTCTATGTTTAAACATAAATGTGAACTTGTTCCTTTTGCGAACTAGTTCAATTGCTTAGATTTGCTTCAACTCAAATTGATCAGCTGAGTCGCTTTTGATCGCCAGCTGCACAGCTCATTAGAACATATGAGCCGAACGAATCCAGAAATCCGGAACTTAGCGAATGAACTTTGTTCACTCATTGAACTAGTCAACTAGCTTAGCTAAGGTACAATCGATCGTGCTGCAAAAGAAAAGATATTTTAAATATGATTCCTGATAGTTATAGCAGAATTTCAGAACTGGCCTAGCAAATGTTTGACGGAACCAGTTCATATGATTACTTTTCAAAACTTACGAAAAAATTCAGCCAAGTTCACAAAATAATTCAACATTTTTTTTGTCACATTTGAAGCGAACTAAAAATGCTGCAGCAAACGACGATAAAAATCATTGCCGATGATTACTTTCTATTTTAATTACTCGCTGACAATGAACAATGTGTCTGAAAATGAATGATGACATTGGCGGGCAAGAGAGAGAGAGAGAGAGAGAGAGAGTGGGGGAGAGAGATAGAGAGACAAGGAGGTGTTGTGTGAGGGGGCGAGGGGTCGAGCGTATTAGCCGTCCATCATCTAGAGCAAAAAGCCTACTCAACGCCAGGCAAAGATCAAGCGCAGCGCTGTTCATGCAATTGGCATTATGTATACGCCACGTCTGCCGCTTTGCATTATTATATATGGATAAATAAAAAATACAAATAAAAATTAAATCATAAAAAATACGTTGTGCACTCAAAGAAAAAACAATCAAATATATATATATATATATATATATATATATATATATATATATATAATATTGCAGAGCCGAATAGTGACACAAAGTGCGACACAGAAATGCAGTCAAGCCAGCCAGCCAGCCCGCTGTATGGTCTATGGACGGTGTTAGGGTTTGGTCTGGGGCGTGTTGTTGACTAACATTGAACTCAACTGTGCTGTGCGCTCGATTGTTGTTCAGGGCTCATTGTTTTTTTGTATTTCGTATTTCGTGCCGAGCGCAGCGATAAAAATGCTGCTAAAGTATAAATTATGCCAATATGAAAAGCCGAAACTGAAAAAAATAGCATGGACAAGCAGCGAGGGTTGCCACAAAGCAACTATGAAAAATGTTTCAATTTGTTGTTGCCAAAAAATCAGATAAGAAAATAAATATTTTTTATGTCTCAAATTGAATTTGAATCAATTTTGATTATCAATTAAATTCATAAATAAAGCTGAAATTGTGTTATGCAACAAATATTAATTTAATTGATTATATATTTAATTCTATATATATACGACATGAATTTGTTGTTGGAACAACTCTCGCCGTTTTATAAACATAAACACAACAATAATGGCTATGAGACAATGTAGCGAATCCATAAAAAGCAATTCTGCATATACATACACACGCCTACGTGTGTGTGTGTGTGTGTATTTGTGTCTATTCGGGTCATGCTGTTAAAAAAATGCGCATAATTGGCAAATTTAGAGTGAAATTGCCTGATAAATATGCAAAATACGAGGCGAGACCAGTTCAGCTCAGCACCAACACCATCAACATTCCTCTATAAAAAGAAACCCCTTCAATAACCCGCAGATATTGGCGCATCAATATAACCATTTAAATAATAAATAATACAAATAATTTTTAAACTGAAAACAAAATCAATTTTTATATAATTTTTATCAAAAAAAAAAAGAAAAAAAAAGAAAGGGGAAAAAATTGTAAATCAATTAAATGTTAATTTCACGTTTCGAGTCTACACCACGTCTGTGTGCGCCTTGATCCAGTCGACGTGGTAGTGGACACGTGCATAGCCGTCTGGATAGATGTTGCCACAGCCGCCCACAACGAAACCTGCCACGCCCACCAGCTCACCATTGTAGTGCGCCGGGCCGCCGGAGTCGCCGTTGCAGGCGCCGTTGTCCGCCTCATGCATCAGGCAGATGCCGGCTGGCTCGCCCCATCCAATCGACTCTTCGCACTCGTCCAAGCTCAGAGACTTGAGCGTGTTCCATTGCAAATAGCGTGGCAGATCGCCGCCATGCCTGATGCGGCCCCAGCCCGAGATGACGACATCGACGCCGCCTGGCGTATTCTGGGTGGGCAGCGCGATTGGCTGCACGCTCTCCGAGTAGATGAACGGCGTTTCGACGCGCATCACCGCCACATCGTTCAGGAAGTCGCCATACTCCTCGTGCGCAACGATCTGCACAATGTTGTGCAAGACCCCGCCGCTGAAGCGATCGTTGGAGCCAACGCGCACGCTGATCTGGCTGGGCGGATAGACTTGCACGTTGTTGTTGGCATCCTCGTAGACGACGCAGTGCGCCGCCGTGAGCACATAGTTGCGAGAGATAATCGAGCCGCCGCAGCTGTGTGAGCCACGATTGCGCAGCGAGACCTGATGCGGAAACTGTGCCTTGGCCGCATCCACGCCGCCCACGACACGTCCGTCGGGCACAGCGGCCGCCTGGCAGGCGGCAGCCCACAGCAGAACGGAGCCAACAACGGGCAGCAAATTGTTAATCATCTCGACGAGCAACTGAGTCGCTGCAAAGGCCCGCAGCAGTCTTTTATAGAAAAGGCCAACATCTTTAAGCCATGTTTATTTATATGGCCAGGGTTTATCAATATTTCGCTCGCTTCGATAAGCTATCATCTACTGATTTACGATGATCGAGCGCCGAATGTTCTTCTTATCATTATCTATGACTGCCCATAAAATAGTTTGTTGACGGCTTCGAAGCATGTCGATGACAGTTGCCCTTTATTTTTATCATTCAACAATTGAAGCTCCCAATGATTTCCAAGCAATAAGTGTGCGTATACTTAATATTTATATAAATACTATACTAGCTTTCAGATGCACATTTGGAGACTATATAGCTGCCTGCCTGAGCAGAGTCTCTCGAGAGAAGATGTTGTCACGAGGCACAGAGAGATCAGCCATGGTAAAGTAGATGACAGGCTGGGCAGACACATTTGTCCCCGAATTAGTGCCATTTAACACAGCTTCCAAGTGGCCCTGGCTGTTTGAAGCGTTTCGGTCACGAGAACACAGGCAACTGTTTGCAGTTATGGTGGAGCACGCAAAGAACAATATGTTCGAGTTAGCTTGACCTTTGGAGCAGCGGCAACAGATGGACACTTTTGGGTCGATTCATCACAAGCAGCAAGCTGCCATCGAAACTGGGAATAAACTAACGACCTTAGCAGCTGCAGCTATAGTGACATTCAGGCTGCATGCATGCAGCTGCAGTTTCTTGGCTGGCATTAACTTGTTATTGATGAAACAATTATTAAATAAATAAATAAAAGAAAATAATTATTTTAATAAATAAATAAAAGAAAATAATTATTTTATTTCAATTCGATTCTATGTTAGCTGTGTGTTCTAGGAAAATTGCTATTTTCATATGAGGCATTGAGAGAAATAGTAACAACCCATAACACTTAATAATTCTAAAGTTAGCAGAACACTAAGCTGTTGAGAAAGACCTAGTATATATATATATATAAATATATATATATATATATATAAATATATATAAATATATATATATATATAAATTAATACTACTGCCAGTTGGCAGGCTTACCTCTTGAATAAGAGTTTGCAGTTTAATTAAAAATTGTCTATAGATGCCGACAATCGATATATATCTGGCGTGGCATATCTATGTGCGGCAACCTGATAAAAATCTCCATTTCAATATACAAACTGAAAATAGTTGACGCCTTACACAAGCCAAATTGAGGTTAAAGTTCAATGTTTGAGTTGCAATTGAAGAGTTTTTTCTTAAATTTGCTTTTGACCATTTCCAATTAAGCTTGGCTAGTTTAAATCACAAACATTTAGCAAGCATTTCTCAGTTGTTGAGATAAGGTGTTTACAATTTGAAGGATCACACATATATGTTAAATAAAGTTGGTGTTTACACACACACACACACACACACGCACACAGCAGAAGAATGCGTCCAAGTGTATAGATGATATTAACTCTCGTTCTGTATGTAGCTGAAAATACACATAAATAAATACGCTCGAAATTTTCACTTGTGTAAATCAAACAATCGGAGAGACGTTCCCAACATCAATTTCTCTGGAAGATAATTCCATTTTTGACTAATACACATATGTACAAAAATATGCATAAATTCTAAATATAAATATATTTTTTTATTATTAAAAATTAGTAAAACCGTCATATGAATAAATGAATTAGCTATTAACATGATGTAATTAACAGTGCGCCATTAACAGTGTGGCATTAACAGAGCTAATGGAAGCAATCACTTCAAAAATGAAAGCTTTTTTTTTATCGAAACTTTAGAAAGTATAACAGAACACATAAGTATATAGACACGAACACACAATTATATAAGTCTTATACTAACAGTAGCAGTCAGAGCACAACATTAACAGGCACACTGTTAATTAACAGAGCTCAGCTAAAAAGTTGACATTGGAAACTCAGACTGAAACGGATTGAAAGCTGCGAAAAGTGTATGAAACATATAGTAGACAAAATTCAGAGGCAGGGCTAACATTAGATGTAACAGTGAACCGTTAACAGTGTTAATATCAATGACTTTAATAGAGTGAAAGCTTTTTTAAAGTATAAATTATAACATAATATCACATGATCACTCTATAACATTATAGACTTAACAGAGAGTTGCTTACAGTTTGCGCTATATACAAGTATGTGGACAGGAACCAGTAATATATACATTTATTTTGTACAGCTAAGAGTAGCTGTAAATGGTTAACACGATGCATTTAACAGACTTTCAATGATTCGCAAACACAGAATTACTATTAATTTGAGCATAATATGAACTGACAACAAAAACTTCAATTTCGTACAGTTAACAGTTGCTGTAATTGTTTAACAGTGCAACAATAACAGAGCGTTGCATGACAGCGAGACTCAGTTGAGTTTAGAAACATTAAAGCATCTTCGAGCTCTGTCGACTCTTCAATTTTAAGAGCAACCATTCTATGGAGTTTATTCGAATTTCTTCTCAGTAAAATGCTGGAACTAATATGCTAAACAAGTTAGCTGCGTCTGCCACAAAAGCGAAGAGCGCACGAAGGAGAGGGCAGCGGGAAGAGGCAAATGGCTTGTTTTCGACTTTATACATTTGTCTAGCTTTCAATTTGTCGTATTTATTATTTCGCCGTTGAATTTTTTTTGGGGAACATGCAGCTAGAGCAATCAGAATCGGACGCACGCACATGGACACGCACATGGACACTCATACAAGTGCAGATTCGCCTGTGTATTCACTTACTCATACGTATGCATGAGCGTACTCGCAGTCGCATTGAAGTGTGGGATGCTACTTTTGCCGCAGGAAGCGGTCGCAGCTGTGGGTTTTAAAATTTCAATTCATTTCCGTTGTGCATACGCACACGCCTCCAACCAACACTTTTCGGCACACAAGACCAAACACACGCACCTACATGATATTTTATACATATATATATATAAATATCTGAATGTGTGTGTGCGTGTGTACACATGTCAAATATACATATAGATATATATGTATATGCATATATATACACAAAAAAACAACAGCCTGCGCCTAAATGGAAGACAACAGCGGCAGCAACAACGACAACGACAACACATATAAAACAAGCAAAGCTACAACAACAGCAAACAGCAGCCCTGGGGCAGCCCGGCAATTTATGTGCCGAAAATATCGAAGAGGCAACGGGTTGGGGCAGCGGAAGATGCGTTGCAGTTGCCGTAGCAGTTGCCGTAGCCGTAGCCATGGGCACGCAGCTACGCAGTCTACGGCTATGCAGCTAACGGGTATTATTACGGATGCGTGCGACACTTTTACGTTTAAATTTTAAATGCTTCAAGTCAAAAATTCAATAAATGTCTGGCATGCTGTGGGCGTGGCCCAGACGATGTTATCCCCGCCGAACCGAACCGAACCGTTGCGGCCACAAATTAAACAAGCGGACATGGCATGCCCTAGCATGCTGCGCCCCCAAGTAGGCAATGCAATTTGAATAGCTTCAAGCACCTGACCCCCTGCCCTGCGTTCCCCAGCCACGCCCCCCTTTACTTCTTTACGTCTGGCTGGCATATTTATAGTTGCATTTTTCGATTCACAATTTAATTATGAATTATTTTAAACTATTCTCAAATGTCTCAGGACTCTGAGCTGGGGACAGTTTTCTTAGATCTTCTTCTATAGAAAAATTTCTATCAATTGCAAACAATCAAACATTGAACACTTGAAATATTTAGACTCATATATCATATATCATCATACTCATATCAAGCGAATTGAAAATATATAATATATATAATATATATATAATATATATAAACAAACAAGAGCATGAGAATTTTTGTATAAATGTAAATGTAAATATATAAATTTATAGTAAAAATAAAAATATATATACAGTAAATACAATAAATAAATGCAATAAAATAAGTAAAATAAATAAAATAGTTAAATAAATAAAATAATTAAAATAAAATCAAATAAATAAAATAAATTTTTAAAAAATTCATGCATGAGAAAATTCATTTGTTTTCCGTCTAAACTAAGAGTCTGCTCTTTGGGTGGCTGCTCGACTGAATTGCTTTCAATGGATACGTTAGCTGCTGCGTGTTATTATAAGATGGTTTGTCACCAAAAACACCTGAGCAGGTGTTTGGCGACAAACATTTGCCAAGCTGCTTCAAGCTGATGCTGCTGCTGTTGCTTGCCTTGTTGTTGTTGTTGTTGCTGTTGATGCTTTAGCTGAACCGACGCTAAGCAAACAAAAACATAATTGGTTTGCTTGTCATTTCTGCTGAAATAGCCCAACAATGCGAACAACAACAACAGCAACATCAAAATGAATTTTTCACAAAAAAAAAAAGAAAGAAAACTCAATCTCAAATATTTATGTATTCAAAATCTAAAGTGTTTAAAAACTTGATGTACTTTTAAAAATTAAAAATTCAAGTTAAACAAAACGAAACTTTTTGCATTAAATTTTTAGCTGTAGCAAAAAAAAGAGAGACTGAGTTCAATTTACTGCTAACTTTTGTATATGAGAACACAAACAAGTCTCAAATATAGGCAATAACCAAGCAAGAGTCAAGCTATTTCGAATAGCTATACTCAACAGTTGCTGCAGCTATCGATGATATTTAGTATTGAAATACATTCTGAGATTTGCCATTTAACCACTATGAAGCATTGACAGCTAGCACAAAGCTTGAAAGTAATTAAAAAATTAAATTAAAAAAAATTAAAATAATTCTATCGTAAGTTGTGGCATCTTGCAACAATTGAAGCTGAATGTCACAACTCATTGCTCTACACCGCCCTGATTAGACCCATGCAGTTGCCCAGAATTAGCTGGGCTCATGGAGAACAGGCGCAGGACAAGTTACGGTGCTTACGAATTGGTCATTATATTGAGCAGCGTGCTGAGGGCGGCTAAGACTAAGCTTTGCTGGAGGAGGAACTGAGTGCAAAATGTTTAACAAATATTTTATGACTATGTAGTTCAAACGCTTAAATGTGACCCGAACA